CGAGCCCGGGATGCGCTCCGGCTGCGATGCGCCCGGCTGCGGCGCAGGGCCCCCGCTCTGGTCCCCGCGGGGAGACACGCAGCGCCGCTGCCGCGCCCTGCCGCGGGAGGAGAACCTGTTTATCCGGGCCCTTCAGGACCGGCTCGCCAGGGCCCGGGTTCCCACGTCCCCATGAGCGGCCCGTCCAGGTTCAAATCCCACCGCTCCGGTCCCCGGCCCTTCCCTTTTGGGAATTGCGGGCCTGGCGCCCCAGTGTTACTTTCTCGACTAGAAGGAGAAAGGTGACAATCAAAGGGAACGAGGACTCGAGCTCTCAAGGAGTGCACAAAGGCTTCCTGTGCAGTAGAACGATTTCTGCTGTTCGAGATCAGCGGGAAGACGGGAATTTCACTGACTCCCCAAAGATCGGAACATCTTTCCAGGATTCGATTCCCCCGCGCTCCTCCCTCAGACCCAGGAACCCAGGCCCTGCACCCTCCAGGGGCTCTGGTGATTGCCTGGCCTCTTCCCTGCAGTCCCCACTCCGCCCCACAGGCAGTCAGCTGGAATCCTCTCCGTCCCCTCTCCTCCTTCGCCCGCTATTTCGGGAGCACCTGTCTGGGTCCAGGGGGCCGATCTGGTGAAAGAAACACCAGGATTGCATCAGGAGGAGGCCAAGGGAGGCGTGAGGTCTGAACATCTGAGCAGCCTCTGGGAAAGAAGAGGTTGGCCTGGGGCCAGAGGGGGAATTCCTGGTCAGGACAGCAGCTCCTTCCTTTTTTTTTTTTTGAGGCAGGTGCAGCTTTCCTCAGATTAAGAGTCAGACCCTCCATTCCCAAGAACACAAATTCATTTACTTTTGTCTTTTTGAGACAGGGTCTCGCTATGAGGTTCATGCTGGCCTTGAGCTCACTTTGTAGCCCAGGCTGGTCTTGAACTCGCAAGGATCCTCCTGCCTCAGCCTCCCGGGTGCTGGGACTACAGGCATGCGCCACCATACCCAGCCCTAGAACACAGAAATTCAAATGGGACAAAAATTCCACTTGTAGAATAACATGAGCATCTTTCACCCAGTGAGGGTGTTTCTAGAATCCCTAACCTTCCAGACACAGACCTGGGTGTCCAGGCCTAGGCTCCTCCATCAGACACTAGTGTCCCAGCCAGGCTCCCTGTCTCTGAGACCCAGGAGTCTAAGACCCCACATCCTCCTCCCTCTGGCCCTCAGAAGGAAGCCCTCTGCCCCTTTCACCCCAGTTCCAATGAATCAGGCTCTGTCTCCTTCATTCTGCAGACTCCGGCATGCAGGCCCCCAGCGTGACAAAGCCCCCCATTGCATCATCCCTGCAGCCTGCCCTGGCCACGGTGGAATTCGGGCTCCTGCCAAATGGGTCAAATATCACGGGTCAGGAGTGGGGAGGGCGCGTGGGCGGGATGTCTGGGTATAAACACTGGAGCGCCTGCATCGGTCCCCAGAGTTTGGGTGTCTGGCAGCTGGAATCCACGAGCAGGAAGACCCGAGACACCGGCTTCCTGAGCTGCAGTGGAAATCCACTGTTCCGGATAAGCCGGACCTGGACCGCACGCGACACCACTGTGCTCCTCCAGCGCCGCAGCCCGGACCGCACCGAGGACACACGCCGCTGATGGGCTGGGCCGGGGCCAAGCGTGAGCGCCCAGGGCTGTGGGTCCCTGTGCTGGCTGTGCTTCTGATGGGAGTCTGCCAGGCGCACCCCATCCCCGACTCCAGCCCCCTCCTCCAGTTTGGGGGCCAGGTCCGGCAGCGGCACCTCTACACAGACGATGCCCAGGACACTGAAGCGCACCTGGAGATCAGGCCCGATGGCTCGGTGCGGGGGGCCGCCCGCCGGAGCCCTGAAAGTGAGTGTGGGGCCGGGTGCCCCAGCCAGAACAGAAGGGTCAGGGCAGGAGCTCGAAGTCTTACCGCTCTCTCCCGCAGGCCTCCTGGAGCTAAAAGCCTTGAAGCCCGGAGTCATTCAGATCCTGGGGGTCAGGACTTCCAGGTTCCTGTGCCAGAGGCCCGATGGGACCCTGTACGGATCGGTGAGTTTCCGGACCCCTCTTCGGCTGCTGTCATCTTCTCAATGCCCGGCCGTGGCTTCGCGGTCACCAGCCAGCCTTGGTGTCCCCGGCTGTCCACTCCCAGCCTCCCTGCAACCCCTGCAGGCGAGCGGTTGTCACCCATGTTTGAGGAAACTGAGGCGAAGCAGGGTGAGCACAAGGGCCAGGCAGGACGTGTGGACCCCTGAGAAGCCAAGCCTCAGAGCGGTACCCCCGGCCTGGCCACACAGCCTCCTCTGGGCCTGGCTCATCCTGGGACACTGGGAGCCATGGCCATGAGCCGCCAGCACCTGAGGTGTGAGCCGGACCTGCTGCCTGCCCTGGGGCAGCCTTGCAGGTTCCCTGGGCTGAAACAGTCTAGACCAGAGGACAGGCAGGTGGCTCCTCTGTGATAGGAATAACGGAGGAGCTGGTTCTTGGTATCAGGTTTCCTGGACAGGGCTGGGGCCCGGACCCCCAGGTCTAGAAGGAGGAGGCTGGGCCTGGACCCCCAGGTCTGAGAGATGAGGCAGGGCCCAGACCTCCGAGGAACCCAGAAGGCTGGCACCCCTGAGTCATACAGTGGGGGAGTGTAGAGGAACTTCGGGCTCAGACAGACCGTGATTCCCTCTCCCCGCAGCTCCACTTTGACCCCGAGGCCTGCAGCTTCCGGGAGCTGCTGCTCTCTGACGGCTACAACGTCTACCGGTCTGAAGCTCACGGCCTCCCGCTGCGCCTGCTCCCCAGTGACTCCTCATCCCGGGATCCAGCACCCCCAGGACCAGCCCGCTTTCTGCCCCTGCCAGGCCTGCCCCCAGCACACCCAGAGCCGCCAGGGATGCTGCCCCCCGAGCCCCCGGATGTGGGCTCCTCGGACCCTTTGAGCATGGTGGGGCCTTTACAGGGCCGAAGCCCCAGCTACGCCTCCTGAAGCCAGGGCTGTTAATTTAGCCTCTTATTTATTGGGGTATTTATCTTATTTATTTTTCTATTTTTCTTACTTGGGATAATAAAGACTCTGACAGAGGAGGACCTAAGGAGCGTGTGTGAGTGTTGAGGGGAAGGCTGGGCACTGCGCCCTGTGTCCACGTGACCCTGTGACCCCTGCCCCCCAGCCCCACCCCGCCACCACCTGAGGTCCCAGCTTCCCACCGGGCTTCCTTTTTCTACTCCGACAAGGCATCACCCGGGTTGGCAGGACAATTCCTGCTCTTTGCTCTTCAACGAAACAAGATGTTTTCTTGGGTGAATGGATATGGTGTTTGGTTTTGCTGTACTACTGGGAATAGAATCCAAGGCCTCTTGTGTGCCAGCCAAGCCCTGTGTGACTAAGCTACATCCATAGCCTTTTATATGTTTTTAAATTTTGAGACAGGCTGCCACCTAGTTGCCCAGACTGGCCTCCACCTTGCGATCTTCCTGTGTCCTAAAGTACCTTGGGTCACAGGCGTGCACCACCATGCCTATCCAGCCCCACCCCATTCTTGTATTTCCTTGTGGAACTGTTGCTCAGAGGAGCCTCAACAACGGGGAGACAGCCAGGTATGGTGGCACACACCTATAATCCCAGCACTCAGAAGGCTGAGGCAGGAGGTGTGCTGTGAGTTCAAGACCAGCCTGGGCTACAAAGTGAGTTCAAGGGCTGGGGATATAGCTCAGTGACACAAGCGCCTGCCTGGCAAGCATAAGATTCTGAGTTTGATTCCCTGTACCAAAAAAAAAAAAAAAAAAAAAAAAACCAAAGTGAGTTCAAGACCAGTCTAAACTGCATAACTATGCCTGCCTGGCAAGCGCAAGGTCCTGGGTTTGATTCCCGGGACAAAAAAAAAAAAAAGACATGAACTGCATAGCTAAATCCTGTCTCAAAAAGACCAAAAAACAGAAAAAGAAAAAAATAATGGGGGACTTTTTTTGAGCGACACTGCAGCTCCGTAGTCTTATGGGAGGTGTAGCTGTCTGGAGTGTTTGGAAGAAGAAATGAGGAGATATCTTTGCCCACAGAGTTAGAGCAAAGACTTCTGGGTCTTTTTTTTTTTTTTTTATACCGGAAATCAAACTCAGGACCTCACGCTTGGCGGGCTGGCACTTGTGCCACTGAGCTATACCCCCAGCCCAATTTCTGGGTCTTGAGCATGGGTTTGGTGCTCGTCCTGTGGGATCATAGGCTGGACATCTGGATGCAGGGTCCTAGGAGAGGAGGCGATAAGGAGGAGAACTGGAGCTGGGAGTCAGGGTTGGGGATGCGGGGAGGGGGGCGTCTCAGGACAAGGGTCAGAATTCTTCCTTCCTGGGAATTTAGGGACTTCAGAGTATGCCTAGTTCCAGAAAGCTGGCCAGTCGGCCTCCTTTCTTTTCTAGATTTTCACATTGTTCAAGTCATTTCCGGAAGGAAGTGAGGACAAAGCCAGGCTGAGGCAGGAGAATTGCAAGTTTGAGCCCAGACTGAGCAATTTAGCAATTTAGCAACACCCTGTCTCAAAATAAAATGAGCGGGCGGGGGGTAGCTCGGTGTAGGCCTGGAGCTCAATTTCCAAACCTAGACAGACAGATGGGGGAAGGGAAGGAAAGGGAAGGGAGGGGAGGGGAGGGGCGGGAAGGAAGAAGCATTAGACCAGGTGTACAGGCTGTCAGCCCCGCCAGGTCCCCAGTTGTCTGACCTACCGCACCTCCAGGAGCTGTGGCCTCAGCCCTTCCTCTTACCGCCAAGCCTCAAGCTAGTGGAGCACCGGGGTCAAAAGCTGCATGTGAGCCTTCGTCCTCCGGGGCCACAGGACCGACTCGCTGCCCAGAAGAAATAAAAGTTGGTTGTGGTAGAAAGTGCGGGTCTCCCCTCTGCCCCGGGGGCTCTGGCAAGGGAAAGACGCAGGACCAGACAGGCCACAAAGCTCCTGGGAAGGTGTGGCTTGTGTCATGAGGCTTGGTGACAGTGACACGTGGGATCGTGGTCAGAAGAGACCACTGAGCTGTCAGAGAAAGTCCAGGGGGTGAGGAAGTGCTGGGCACCGCCGGGCCATCTTCCCATCGGAGGAGAACCCCGGAGGCTGGGGACAGGGGGCAGGAGGGGGCACTGTGTGATGAGACCCAGGAGAGGGGATGGCGGACAGGAGACCCGGGACCTGTGTCCCAACTGCACGCTTCTGTATTGCAGGGTCTCAGAGCTCCCGGCTCTGCAGAGCCCTGTCCAGGCGGAGGCAGGTCCTCGTCCTCTGTCTGCCGGGCCTGCCCCAGGTCACTGTCCCACAGGGCACGCCTGGGCCCGTCGCACTCGACCTCTTGACCCCCCATTCCAGCCCACTACCCGCAGAGCCTCAGGCGAGACGCTGTGTGTGACGGGAGGGGATATGGCGCATGCCCAGAGCGCACAGCGGGCCCTGCTGTGGACAGCGGCTGGGGGCCGGGCGGAGCGGGGCGGTCCCAGGGGAGAGGACCCTGGGCCCCCGAGGCTCGGAAGTGATTTAATCATCGAGTGTAACAGCGGGATGGTTGTTCGTGCACACTGGAGATTTAGTGTTAGGTGAGATGAGTGTTTGTTCTGCAGCCCTAGGGATTGACACCACCCCGCCACCCCTCCACCT